GTCTCTACAAAAAAATTAAATTAGCCAGACTTGGTGGCACGTGCTCTAGTCCTAGCTACTCTGGAGGCTGAGGCAGGAGGATCACTGGAGCCCAGGAGTTTGAGGTTGCAGTGAGCTATAATGATGCTACTGCACTTCAGCCTGGGGCACAGAGCGAGACCCTGTCAAAAACAAAAAAGCCATCGTTGGCTGTTGCTGTCGAGTGTTTACACCATGCCAGGCACCATTCTAATCGGTTGGCCTGGACTGTCTCATTTAACTCTGCAGTCAGCCGAGGAGGTGAGTACTTGCGTTATTCCCCCACTTTACAGATTAGAACTTTGAGGCTCAATCCCCTGCCCAGGAGTTCCAGACAGTAGGCATCAGGCAGGTCAGCTCCAGGGTGCCTTTCTCCTCAGTCCTTGGCTATTTGAGCTCACAACTTTTCCCTCCTTCCCTCTTTCCTTCCTCTCTTCCTCTTTCTTTCTCTCTTCCTCCCTCCTATTTCCACTCTCTCCTTCTCCTTACCTGCCCCCCAACATTTTATGAACCTTTGTGTGCAGCTGGTGTGTGTAGACTCCTAGAATAAGAAGTGCGCGACTCAGGTAAGGGAGGGGAGTGTGTTTAAAAGGCCACTGGTTGCTGAGGACTGTGGTGGCATTTTTTAGGTGTGTGGCGAGGGGAGGGGAGGAGGTGGCAGGTCTTGTCCAGCTGGCTCTTGCAAGGCCACTTTGAGAAGTGAGTCTTCCTATCTCCCTACCAGGCCTCCAAGGAGGCGGACACTCCCAGAGGAAGCATGTGCAGAAGCCTAGGGGCCTGAAATTCCTATCTGAGGGGTCAGGAGGCAGGAGAAGAGGTTGGGAGGTAGTTCTTGGAGTAACCTGAGGCCTTGCCTTGGGGAATTTGGCCTTGATCCTGTAGTGGATGCATGTTCTGCTTTGGGGGAAGCACCAGCTTGGGAGGTGGGAGAGGAAGCTGGGTGTGGCAGGAGATGCTGTCTTCAGCACAGCCTTTCTCAAAGTGCACCAAAAGGAGAGCTTCTTAAACCCAGAATCTCTGAGCCCCAGCCTAGATGCACTGACCCCAAAATTTGAATGTGTGCCCTCCAAGGGTGACTCCGGGGGCACCCCTGCTTGGGTCCTCACCGTCCACAGGGAGGAAGGAGGTCAAGCTTTATTTCAGCCCTGGACATCCCTTCCCTCAGTGCTGTTTCAACAGGAGGTGGGCCCATGCTTGGATTCTAGGTGACAGGCCCTGTGCATGGTGGCCCTCAGAGGAAGGCCCTTCTTTTCAGGGTTCAGGTGTGTCTCAGAGTGTCCCAAGCTCCAAGCCGCACATGGGCCCTGTGCAAGGTCAGGGACCACCCACCCAGTGCCCCAGACCCATAAACCAAGATACCTTCCTCAAGACACCCCCACCCCACCCTCACACACACACTGTGATTCGCCCACCTCATTTCCTTCCTAACCTGGGGAAAAGGAAGTGAGAGCGGGGCCTCGGGGTGGCTGAGATGCTAGACTCGCATCCTCAGAACAGTCACTGCTGTATATTACGTCAGGCACTGGGCTGAGAGATTTATGTGCATTTGGTCAGGACAGCTGCCCCAAGGAGTGAGTGTCATTAGCCCCATTTTATAGACAGGCGGAGGCAGCTTAACTCACTTGCCCAGCGTCACTCAACCTCATCTGTAAAATAGGGACAATATTCCCTACCTTGCCAGGGAGTTATGAGGATGACAGGTACGAATGTGTGATAAACTGCAGTGGTGTGTTCAGAATCTGTAAGAGGAGGTTGGGGGTGCAGTCCAATTGAGGGGTGGCTGGGAGCATAAGGACTTGATCTGAAATGTCGCTGGCATCACAAAGGTGCAGTTACCAGGACTGCATGCTAATTTGGGGTGGCCTTCCAGGTGCAGTGACAGGGCATCAGGTGAATACTTCCAACATCAGTCGTGCTCGTGGTCATCAAGGTGGGTCACCAAGACACAAGAAGAGACTTTCAGCCACCTTGTGCCAGGCCATGGAGATAGTGCAGTGAGCTGGGTAGACAGTGACCTGGGGCGCCCTTGCCCCCAGCTCCAGGGCCTCTGCCCATGGCTGGTCACATTAGGACCGAGAGGCTGCAGCTTCCTGAGAAAAGGCGCTGACTCGCTTCCTTTCCCTCCCCACGCTCCCTGGCCACTGCGACGTCAGCAGTTCCTTGGGTCCAGCCAGGGAATTGCTTTATGAAGAGCCCAGGGGGACCCTGGGCTCCTGACCCAAGTGGGAACTAAGGTGGCTGGAGGGAGCCCCCACCTGGGTGAGGAAACCCCCTCTGAGCACAGTGAGAAAAGGGGAAGCCCACTGTCTGGCTCCAGGAAATGCAGGGCTTCCACGCCAGGCCACAGGAGCTTTCTCCAGTGCCCAGGGACAGAAGCAGGTGCAGCGTGATGGCCACCAGCAGTGCCCAGGGACAGAAGCAGGTGCAGCGAGATGGCCACCAGCAGAGGTTTGGGTCTCGGTCCTGGGTCTGACTCCTTCGCTTCCTGGCTGGGCACCCCGGCAAATCACTTCCTCTCTCTGGCTGAGGTTCCTCATGGAGATATCAGCAGTCCCCACGTCACAAGTTGATGTGAAGATAAAATGCATTAGTGCATGCAAGGTGCATGGCACAGAGCTGGCAGACAGCTCGGTAGTTGGGGCTGTGGTGACCGTCAGTGACAGAGATGGCTCTAGCCAGGCCCCGCTCTCTCCCTCCTCTAGTGTTGTCACACAGGCAGGGTACCCGGGCACCAGGAGGGGTCTTCCCTGCCTGCCCCTGCAGTCAGCCATATTCTGGCTTTGTGGGTGGTGACAGCCGGGAGGTGGCCGTGGACTCCTTGCCAGTAGGCGTCCCCCGCACTCTGAGCTCCTGGGAGAAGACGAGCTTGAGCACCCCAATCTTGACTCATAGCCACCTGTGCACCCCAGGGTCCCCTCCTCCTCTTCTCCACTTGCCTCCTCTGACCAGTGTGCGGGGCAGCCCTACTTTAAGTGAGATAATAATGTCCTGAATGCGCCCGGCTTCAGCGGACCCTCCCAGAGTAATTTACAGTCATAACAGATAGATTGGAAACAACCTAAATGTCCAAGAATCCTAAGATGACGTCGAGGGCTCAGTTTTATGCACTCTATGAACTCTGAACCCACAGGACGACCGTGCAGGGGAGGCAGCACTGTTATCACCCCCACTTTACAGATGAGAGGGCTGAGGTACAGAGAGGCTGAATCACGGGCCCAAAGTCACAGCACTGACAAGTTGGGATTTGAATGCACCTGTCTCCTCCAGCCACAGGTCCAGCGCTCTGCCCACACGTGTGTGGTTGGCACGTGTGTGTTTGGATCTGTGTACTTGGAGGCCGCCATGTCCTGGTGGGCGAGGACTGGGTCTTTGCCCTTCTCTGGTTCAGGGGCTCGGTCAGTGACGCGTGATAAGGCCAGGGTGAGCTTAGGTCAGGGTGACCGCGAATGCGACCTGGGCCTCCCGAGGCTGAAGACCTCCTCTCTTTGTCCCTGTAGGACCCTTGCCTGCCTCGGTGCACAGCACCCTCCCTGCAGGGCCGGGGGCCTTCCCTCCACAGCCATGGTCTGGAAGAAACTGAGCTCTGGCAACTTCTCCAGCTGCCCCAATGGCTCCCGAGAGTGGATATGGGACGTGTTTGGTGAATGTGCCCAGGACAGCTGGGACGAGGCCAGTGTGGGCCTGGGCTTGGTCTCCATTCTCTGCTTTGCTGCATCCACCTTCCCGTGAGTAGGGTCCGGGTGGCAGGATCGGGGTGGGACTGCGGGGTGGGGCCGTGGCTCTGGCACTGCACGGAGGAGGGGGCTGCCTGCTGGCCAGGGGCCTCTGCAGACTCAAGGCGGGGCATGCTCTGTCCCCTTCCATACTCTCTGACTTCCAGCCTGCTGGAAGGGACCTGCCCTGAGGTCCCCATAGGCCAGACCTTGGGCTGGGCAATGCTGATACGAAGGTAATGACATTTGCTACAGTTCATTGAGTGCCTACTACGTACCTGGCTCAGTTCTAAGTGCTTGACATATTTCTACCTCATTTAATCCTCACAACAACCCTGTGAAAGCGGTCCAGTTACTGAAACCCAGAGAGGTTAAGCAACTTGCTCTAGGTTGCACAGCAGGTAAGAGATGGGGCAAGGGAGTGGAAGGGCTGGGATGCATCAAACGTGGCCTCAAGGCTTTGACGTTCCAGGGGTGGAGACAACAGCAGTGAGTACAACACAGCGTTACCGCTGCTGTGTTGGGGAAGGAGCACCCACGCTCAGCCATGCCGCCTGCCACTCTGTGCCTCAGCTTCCTCATTTGTAAAATGGGAGTGTTGTTGCCTAGCTCAGAGGGTTGCTACAAGGACAGCACGGGGGAGAGTATGGAAAGCCCCTGGCTCGGGGCCTTTACCGATGTGTGCAAACCCAAGAGCTGTCAGCGGTGGTATTGCTGCTGTTCCACTACATTACACACACAAGAGGGACACCTGCCCCCCTGCAGTGGCAGGAGAGGGTTGCGGTTGGAAAGGACCTGGAGGTGTCAGCCTCTAACTCTAAGCCCAGAGCTCAGGATGGGTCAGAATCGGAGAGGTGAAAGCCAGTGTGGAAGAGAACGTACAAGGCAGAGGCAACAGCAGGTGTACAGGGACAGGGGCAGGTGTGTTGGGACGGCTGGACAGGGCCTGTTGGGGTCAGGGCAGGGGGAGGGGAGGTTGGAGGGGTCCTCCAGGGCCCTATAACCTAAGGGCTGTTCTCCACTCTTAAGGAATTTGCTCTTTATCCTGAGGGATAAAGATAAGCATTTTTTTGTTGTTGTTTTTCTTTTGAGACAGCATCTCTCTCTGTCACCCAGGCTGGAGTGCGGTGGTGTGATCATAACTCACTGCAGCCTCAAACTCCTGGGCTCAAGCAGTCCTCAGCCTCAGCCTCCTGAGTAGCTATAGTGGCACGAGCCACCATACCCAGCTAATTTTTAAACATTTTTTTGTAGAGGCAGGGTCTCGCTGCATTGCCCATGCTGGTCTCGAACTCCTAGCCTCAAGCGATCCTCCCACCTTGGCCTCCGACTGCACCCAAAATAAGGGCTTAATCAGGGGCTCGACATTGTTTTAACAGCCCCTCATTAAGAGAGAGAATTCTTACACTGTACGATAAACCCATTTGAGTGTAGAAGTCACTGGTTTTAGTATATCCTCAGAGTTGCGTAACTATCACCACAATTAATTTCAGAGCATTTCCATCACCCCAGAAGGAAGCCTACACCCATTAGCAGTCAGTCCCCGTTTCCCCCTGAGCCTCTCTGTCCCTGGCAGCTTCCAATCTGCTTTCTGTCTCTGTGGATTTGCCTATTCTGGACACTTCAGGATTCATAGTACGTGGCCTTTTGTGACTGGCTTCTTTTACTTAAGATGATGTCTTGAAGATTCGTTCATGTTGTAGCATGTGGCAGTACTTAAGTCCTTTTCGTGGCTGAATAATGCTCCGTTCTGTGTATCAGCCACGTTTTGTTTATCCATTGGTCCATCGATGGACATTTGGGTTGTTTCTTATTTTTAGCTATTAGGATTACCGTTGCTATGTACATTCCTGTGCAAGTTTTTATGGGGAAATATGTTTTCACTTCTCTTGAGTGTATGCCTAAGGAGTAGACTTGCTGGGTCATATGGTGAGTCTGGGTTTAACCTTTTGAGGAACCGCCAGACTGTTTCTCCAGGTGGCTGCGCCATTTTACGTCCCATCAGGGGCATATGAAGCTTTCAGTTTCTCCAAATCCTCCTTAACGCGTGTTATTTCCTGTCTTTTTTGACTGTGGCCGTCCTGGTGGGTGTGAAGTGGTATCTCCTTGTGGTTTTGATTTGCGTTTCCCTGATGAGTAATGAATTGAGCAGCTTCTCATACACTTGTTGTCATCTGTGTGTCTTCTTTGGAGAAAGGTCTGTTCAGATCCTTTGTCCACTTTTCAGTTGGATTATTTGTCTTCTTTATATATTCTTGATACGACATCCTCATCTGATATATGATTTACAGATATTTTCTCTGATTCCGTGGGTTGTTTTTTCACTTTCTCGATGGTGTCTTTTGAAGCACAAAAGCTTTTAATTTCGATGATGTCCAGTTTATCTGTTCTTTTCTTTTGTTGTTTGTGCTTTGGGTGTCATATCTAAGAAACCATAGCCTAATTCAAGAAACAAAGATTGGCCCTATGTCTTATTCTAAGAGTTTTATAGACGTGACTCTTCCATTTAGGTGTGTGGTCCATTTTGCGTTATATTTTGTGTGTGGTGTGAGGTAGGGGCCCATCCTCATTCTTTTGCGTGTAGATATCCATTTGTCCCAGCACCGTGTGTTGACAAGACTCTCCTTGTCCTGTTGAGCCATCCAGGTGCCCTCTTAGTGGCTTGACATGTTTACTGAATTACCTTGTTCCGGGTGCCATATCGGACGTGTTGTGAATGAGCCCAACAGATGCCGTCCTTGCTTTGCAGAGCTTCGGTTCTGGCACCCTTGAAAAGAATATCTGGGAGGGATGGGGAAGAAGGACCAGGAACAGAGAGACTGGAGGCAGGGAGGCCACCTTGGGGGCTGTGGAAGCCGTCCAGCAAGCAACGACGGAGCGGGGACTGGAGAGGCCCCCGGGTGACTGATGGTGGCCGAGGGCGAGACTCCCTGTCCGGGGTGAGAGCTTCCCCAGAACTCTCTGAGGAGCTGGGGGGCTTCTTCCTACCTGGGCCTGGCTGATTGGGCAGCGAGGGGTCGGAGGCCTGCGAGAGAGCCCCGCGTGACGGCGGGAAGGGTGGCCGCCTTCCTGCCCCTCCCTGGGAATCAGCCTCTCCTGTGGGGGGATAGAGTCACTTTCCTGCAACTTATGGAGACGAGTCGAGTCACAGCCTTAGAGGAGCTTCACTGGGGGCTGTGGGTCGACCTGACTTAAGGCCTTCTTGGTGCCCGCCTGTGCTGGTCACGGCCCCACCCTCGAGTGCTGGAGACCAGGTGGGACGGGGCTGTCGAGCATCACAGAGGAGGAAGGAGAAGGTGCCAGCGGAGCTCGCGTCAGGGAAGGCTGCAAGGAGGAACTGATATTTTCATGTCCTGAGACGTGACAAGATGAAGAGGCGGCGTCTGGGCGTGAGGAGGGGGCGGTGGGCCATCTGCAGGGGAAGAGCTCGGAGGGAGGGAAAGTGATCCGGGGGGCAGTGGCCGAACCAGGGGCCTTGCCAGGGCGCGCTCTGGAGAATGCGGGTCCTTATTGAAGAGTTTGTGGCAAGATTGGGGTTTTAGAAAGATCCCTGAGCGGGCGGATGGATTTGAGAGGAACAAGGCTCGGTTAGGAGACTGACGTGGGTGGGGGCCTGCGGGGAGGTGGAGGGAGAGGAACCCAGCCGGCACCCACGCTTAGTTTCTGGCTGGACTCATGGGGGTGGTGAGAGACATTTAGTTTTTTCTATCTACTTACCTTCCTGCCTACCTGCTTATTTTCATTCGTATATGCGGATGGTTAAAGAGGAATTTGAGCAGTAAGGGGCAGCGTGTGTGTGAGCAAAAGCAAGACTGGAGGCTGGGCCCGGGGTGAATCTGAGCCGTGTGACACACCTCCCTCAGTTCCCCAAGAGGACAGTCATCATGACAGACCTGACCTCCCTGGGGGCTGTGAGGATGGAGCAAGTCAGCGCACGCAGGGCTCAGAACCGTGCCCAGGCCTCGCTGCCGCCGCCAGCATTGGGCTCATGCCACAGGTCCAAAGGGAGGGTCCCAGCACCAAGGACCTTTGGGGAAGTAGCCAAGGGACCTAAGGCTTATGTAATGGAGAGTTACGGGCGCCTCAGCCCTGCCTGTCTCTGCTGCCCCCTGGACACAGCTGGTCTGTGGTTCTGCCCGTCACGTCACTGGCTGTTCCTGGAGCTCGGGCTCCCCCACCCGCGTCCGTAGAAGAAGGGATCCGGAGTCATATGAAGTGGTTCTCAGGGCCCAACACAAAACTTCAGGACCCTTTATAAACCCCACGTCCCCACCAGAGCCCCCAGGGTGCGGGAAAATCCTCCGAGGGGCAGAGAACGGCTCCTGAGGATCCTGGCTGCAGGAAGGATGGGCTCCCAGGCCGCCTCCTGTCCGGCCACTGCCCCTGCCTCACTCTTCTGTGGTCGTCTCGTCTGGGGGTGCTCCCTTGGTGGTGCTCTGAGGTGGCCTTCTCAGCCCTTGGCCCCTGAGTGCGTGTCCCCTCCTCTTCCACAGCCAGTTCATCAAGGCCTGCAAGACGGGCAACATGGACCAGGCCCTGTCCCTGTGGTTCCTCCTGGGCTGGATCGGCGGAGACTCCTGTAACCTCGTCGGGTCCTTCCTTGCTAACCAGCTGCCGCTGCAGGTGGGTCGGTGCCCGGGCAGGGTGGGGCTGTCAGGGACAGCCATGGCAGAGGCTTTGGGAGCAGCTGGCTGGGGCAGAGGCCCAGGGTCTTTGGCCAGCCCAGTCTCCAGGGTCCTGACCTGCCATTGCATCCTGTGAGGGCCCCACGCTACAGAGAGAGCCTCTGCCTGCCACACTGTGTGACCACGGCCAAGTCACTGCCCTTCTCTGGGCCTCCCTTTCCCCATCTGCTGTATGAGCACATCAAACCACGGGGTCGCCGGGGCCTTTTGCCTTTGAGGTGCTAGGATGCCGACTAAACTGGGAGGGCATGGGGCCCTCAAAGAAAGGAGTTTTTCCTTGGGAGGTCTAGGTGTTATTCCGTGGCCAGGCAGAGCTGGGAACCACGGTCAGGAAGGCATTGTCTTTCTAAGTGCGACCCGAAAGTCAGCTGCTCCGGCCGGTATCGGGCCAAACCAGGGCCACCACTTGACTGCGGAGTCCCGTCCTAACCAGTAGCGCTGGCCACCCACGCCTTGGCACCTGCCACGCTGGACACTTTGCCAGGCCCTTTGCCCACCTGATCTGTAATTCTGCCAGGTAGGAACTGGGATCCCCTCCTTTCCAGATGAGGGAAAGAGGCTCAGAGACGTGATGTGACTTGGCCAGGGGTCACCAGCTGGGATGTCGCAGAGGGCTGCCAGGCTGTGGTCCCGGATCCTGGGGCTGCAGCCAACGCCCGGGCCCTGCGTCTCTTGCAGACCTACACAGCTGTGTATTACGTCTTGGCGGACCTGCTCATGCTGACGCTGTACTTTCACTACAAGTTCAAGAAGCGCCCCTCTCTGTGTGAGTACGGCGGCCGCTCTGTGTCGGGCACTCTACTAGCAGGCGGTGGTGGCGGGGACGGGGGCCTGGAGCTCGGGAGGAAGCAGGCTGCCCATTGCTGGGTGATAAACCGAACCTCAGAAGGGCATCCTCGGCCCTATCTGAAAGCCCCAGAGTTAATCAGCCAAGATAGAGGGGCCTGAGGGCAGTGAGTACTTCCTGGGCCGACCAGGGAGGTCACTCAAGTTCTCACTCTGCAAACAAGGCTTTGGCTCCTCCTCTGTGTCCCGGCCCCGGGCTTGGAGCTGGGGAAACAAGGACAAGTCACACAGGTCATCTCTGCCCTCCAGGATTCAGAAGGGGCAAGAGGCAAGGTCAGGTCGAGGGCTGTGCTGTACACGGTACAGGCTCTTGGAAAGGGAATTGGGTCTCACTGGCATTTCTGCTGTGGATAAGCCCCTGCTCGCCCCACCGCCGTCATTGTGTCACCTTCACAGCCCTGGGAGAGGGGAACTGTTGTTGTTCCTGTTCTACAGATGAGGAATTAAAGCTCAGAGAGGTTAGGTCACTTGTCCAAGGTCACAGAGCCACTGAGGGGCAAGGCCCCAAGGCAGGTCCCAGGCCTTCTGCTGTCACTCAGATACCTAACCCTGGCTTCCCTCCCGCCTCATGTCCAGTGTCTGCCCCTGTCAATTCTGTGCTCTTGTTCGTCATGGGGACGGTGTGTGCCACGCCTCTGCTGAGCAGCGCCAGCCCTGTGGCTGCCCCCAGAGAGGTCTTCCGGGGGCGGGCGCTCCTGTCTGTGGAGCCGGGCAGCAAGGTGAGGTTGGGTACTGGTGGTGGGGTGGGAATGGGGTCCGGCTCGTCCCCCGCGTGGCCACGTGGGTGTTAAGTCGGGTCAGGGATGACCGCCCCCCAACAAGGCCCTGAGCACCCCTCTCCGTCCCCAGCCCTTCACTCGGCAGGAAATCGTTGGCTTCGTCATCGGCTCTGTCTCCAGCGTGCTGTACCTGCTGTCCCGGCTGCCTCAGATCCGCACCAACGTGAGCCTCGTGTCGGCGGGGGGCCCCCCGGGTTGAGGAGTAGCGAGGTGCGGGAGTCTCAGCTCAGAAAGCTCAGGACCACCTCCCCGTTGGCTTGGGCAAGTTAACCCGATTCTCTGAGCCTCAGTTTCTGCCTCTGGAAAATGGGTGTGGTGCTGCCTGCCAGCCAGGGACACGTGAGACCCTGGGTGTCAGGGACGCGGGAGGTCAGGGGAGAGCTGGGGCTGGGCTTAGAGGCTGAGAGGAGAGGAGAGGAGAGCGTCGCGTGGAAGGGATGGGGGAGGCTTGCTGGGCAGGCGCGGGGCGCGGAAGGGCCAGCAGCATGGCGCAGCCACCGTCTCCCACTTCTTTGTCAGAGTGGGGAGGACGAGGGGTCCTGGGAGGGGCTGGTCTCTGTGCCAGGCCCTGCGGGACGCTCAGGGTATGTGCACTGCGGCGGTGCACACGGAGACGTGGAAGTTACAGTCCAGAGCGGTGAGAGCCCTGCTGGGCCCTCTGACCCTCTGCCCCCTGCCCCCAGTTCCTGCGGAAGTCGACACGGGGCGTCTCCTACTCGCTGTTCGCGCTGGTCATGCTGGGGAACACGCTGTACGGCCTGAGCGTGCTGCTCAAAAACCCCGAGGTGGGCCAGAGCGAGGGCAGCTACCTGCTGCACCACCTGCCCTGGCTCGTGGGCAGCCTGGGCGTGCTGCTGCTCGACACCGTCGTATCCTTCGGGCGCGTGGGGCGGGGTGGGGAGGCCTCTGCCTGCACGCAGCTCCAGCATCCCCCCGCCTCCATCCCTCCCTCCAACCCTCCCCCCATCCCTCCTTCCCTCCCTCCCTCCATCCGTCCGTCCCAGCGTGTACACCTCCTGTGCGCTGGGCCCAGCCAGGCGCTGGATCCGCTGGGGAGCAGGAACAGAATGGCCCTTGCCTCAGAAGCTTGCAGCCCAGTGGGGGGCAGGCCGGGCGCATGTAGTTACCGAGTAATTACTTCACTGCAGCAGTGTCGGGCCGAGGAGCACGGGGAGGGTGTATAACCAGGGGCTTCCTGGTTTGGAGGGTTAGCAAAGGCCTCACAAGCGTCATTTAAGCTGTGGCCTGAAGAAGTTAGTCAGGCAAAGTCAAGGGAGGTGTGTTCCAGGCACAGCTTGTGCAAAGGCCCTGAGGAATAGAAACACATCGGCCCATTGAGGCCGTGGGAGTGAAAGCTGGAATGTGGAGACACATGTGAGTTGGAATCAGAAAAATCTGGTTCAAATCCTGGCTCCTCTGCCACCCACTTCGTAGCTGTGTGACACAGGGCAAACCATCAACTTCTCTGTGCTTCCGCACCTTTATCTGATTTAATAGTCAGCTGCCTTGTCGGGAGGATGGGGCGATTGTGTAAGATCAGGGGAAACGCTCCCGCATGACCTGCTGCAGCACTGTTGAGGGCTCAGCGAGTGTTTGCCGAGTGGCTGAATAGGACATTACCTGGGTCTCATTTGGGAGAAATTATATGTGGCCTTTGTCTCAACACTCGTTGACTCCCTGCTGGACGCAGTGAGAGATAAGAGTTCCAGCTCTGGTGCCCCCACATGGCCCGGCCACTGGTGAACCCCAGGATGTTGTAGGGTAGGAGGAAGGCAAGGCCCTGGGCTGGGGTCCAGGGAGGCCGCCCGAGGCAGGAAGCCCCCAGCGCTGGACTTGGAAGGTGACTGGCGTTCGGCTGGGGCTTGAGGAGCGGGGAGGCCGTCCAGAGTGGAGGGGACAGCACGGGCAGAGGCTGGGAGGCAAGAGGGAGGCAGCTCCGGATGGAGTCATGGAGCCATAGGGCCCCCCGGGGACAGCGCCAGTCTCTGCTCAGCTTGGCCTTAACGTCGGCCCTTCCAGATCTCCATCCAGTTCCTGCTGTACCGGAATCGCACCGCCGCCTCAGAGCTCGAGCCCCTCCTCCCCAGCTGACCAGTGCCACGCTGAGCCCAGGATGACAGGGACCTTCAGATCCACCCCCAGGAAGGGACAGGTGCGGGCAGGGACAGTGCTGCTGCCCCTGGGTTAGCCTGGGGAGGCCCAGCGCTCCTGGCCCTGCCGCCTCCGCTCATCCCTGCAGCCTTCGCGGGCTGGCCGGCCCCCCTTGGAACACACCCAGGGTCTAGGGCAGCTGTCGCAGGAGCCTCAGGGGAGGGGCTGCAGCCGAGGGTCGGGGCCTCTCAGAAGACAGCGTGGCCGCCCCTGCCGCCCACCTACCTCACTCTGCCTGCTCAGCCCCCGGGGGGGCCACAGCTGCAGCACAGTGGACCCAGCACTGTCCTGTTGACTCCGACAACCTAGTAAACGGCACCTCCCGGTGAGGCCTGTTTCCGCTGCTCCTTCCCAGGGCGCTGGGGGTGGGGGCTGCTCTGGGGACAGCAGTGCGTGGGGACCCAAGGAGAGCTGAGTGGAGGGGACCCAATCTGCCTGCAGCCCCGACCCAGCGCCCCCAGGCCTTCTGGTTTCGTAAGCCTGCTTCTACATGACAGGCCCCAGACCTGGTGGTGGGGACACGGCAGCAAGAGTCCCTGGGGTCCTTGTCCCTTGGTGCTCAGGGAGAGGCAGAATGGTTAAGAGTCAGATCTGGGTTCTGTGTCTTAGGGCCTCGGTGCTTCGGTTACCTCATTGGTGAAACGGGACGACAGCACCACTTCATGTGTCCTTTTAAGGATTGAATAAGATGGTGTCATTACGGAGTGTGACCCCAAAGTCTGGCGTGGAGTAGGGTTAGTGTTGATGACTTTCAGTTGGAGAAGAGGGACAGCCGGGTCTCAGGGAGAGCTTCCCGGAGGAGGCGACAGGCCAGAAGGATGAGTGGGAGGTAATGAGGGGAAAGGTGGGGGTGGGGTTTGCGGGAGGAAGAGGAGGCAGGTGCAGGCAGTGGTGGTGGTGGGCGGGCAGGGCTGAGCCCTGAGCTCTACTTCCCGGGCCCCAGCCTCAGTGTCCCAGGCCCCGTTCCGATTCCACTTTCCTGTTGGTCATAACCCTGTGGGTGCCCCGGGGACAGGGGCCACCTCCCGTCCTTGCTGGCCTGATCTCCCCCCCACAGCCCACCCTGGTCCAGAAAACCAGGGACTTCGGGGCCGTCTGGGAGAGAAGCTGTGCCTCTCAGAGTGACCGTTTTAGAATCTTCCTGTCCCTGCCCCAGAGAGAAAGCAGCTCCGTGGCCCATTCTGGTGCCGCAGGTACTCGGCACAGCCCTTGCTCAGCGCACGCTGTGTTGGCGTCTGGGCTGCGGGCGAACCAGCTCTGGGCCCTGCCCTCTGGGAGAGGAGACCAGAAGGTGGAAAGGGCCAGGCAATGAGGAGAGACCAGCCCCGGGACAGTCAATCAGGGAAGGCTTCTCGGAGGAGTGGCCTTTGAGCTGGATCTCCAAGGTGGTGGGGAGGGCGATTCAGGAAGAGCGAAGGGCAGGTGCAGAGGCCTGGAGGGGGAGGTCTGGGCTGCTCCTAAGGTGGGGCTGCTCAAGAGCCTTGAGAGCCCAGCTAGGGCTGAAGACGAGGACAAGGTCCTGGGGCAGGCCCGGCAGCAGCTCATCAGCAGGTGACTGGGTTGGTTGGAGGAAGAGCCTCTGTTGCTGGAGAGGAGGAAACTAGGACCTGGGGAAACCGGGGAGGGGACCCCTCTGAGATTCAGGTGGGGCCAGCAGGGCCCGTCCCGGGGATGCCTGTGGAGCCCAGAGTGCCATCGGGGACACAGCTGATGTTTGCTGTGCACTTGCTGTGTGTGGGCTGGGCCGGGCCGCCGGCCTGCAGTGATCTATCTCGTCCCGTCCCCACGACCCCCGCTGAGATAGGGGGACTGTGACGGCCATTTTATGGATGGGAAAACAGGCTTAGAGGAATTAAGTGACTTGCCCAAGGCTGCCCAGCTAGGAGTGGCAGCTGTTTGATACACGTTAGGTCCTCCAGCTGTGGGGGCATCCCACCTCCAGCCAAAGTTGGGGTCCTGGAGTCCCCTCCCTGGCTGGGGTGGGGTCCAGGACTGTTTCTGGGTGCAGTGCAGCTTCACCCTTCAGAGCGGCCCAAATCCTGCTGGCCTCAGGCTCCGTTCTCATCCTCGGTGGCAACCTCTGCAAGTCTCTGGCCGGGCCTGGCTAGCAGGGGAAGGGACCTCCAGGCCACAACAGCTGGCTCTGGCCCGCACCTGCTTCGTGTGCCCTGTGCCAGCCAGTTGTCTGGCTCCCCCGGGGGCTGGGACCTGGCTCAGTGCCAGTTATCTGGGGCCTCTTGGCACCTTCCCAGCCTGAAGACGGGGTCAGGGAGTGCTCAGTGTGGCAGCCTGAACCCCATGTGCAGGCTTGAGTCGGAGCTGGGTGGGAAGAGTTGAGGTAACAGCTCCTTTCTCAGGAAGCCCTTCTCGGACGGGGTGACACAAGCCCTTCCTCTTGGGAAACACGCAGTCTGGCGGGGTGCTAGTGCCCACTTTCAGGCGTGAGCTACGGTTCCTTCCTTCTCAGGAGGCCCCAGTCTGCTAGGGGAGACGTGGCCCCTGTCCCGAAGGAGGTCCCGAACCTCAGGGAGCATCTAGTCTACAGCTCACCCAAACCTCCATTCCTTCTCTCCCTTGGAGCCTTCATTCCCCCGCCTCAAGTAGGAAGCGAACCGGTTGGGCTGGAAGAACTTGATGGGTCCCCAGGCCCTTGTTGAAGGGGAGCTGGTGACACATGCAGAAGACAGGGACCGGGGTGTGTGGAGCACTCGAGCTTTGGGCTCCTACACCCCCGGTTCCAAGCCTGCCCCAGCCACCGGTGACCCCGGGGACTGGGGCACACCCCTGAGCTCAGTTCCTCCATCCCCGGGACCAGCAGTGCTGTCCACCTCCGAGCGTGGCTGTGAGGATTGGAGGATCTGCGGGCCCAGTCCCAGCACCGGGCGTGTGTCCGTGCCTGGTAAATAAAGGCCACGTCAGCTTGCCCATCGGCAGGGTCTGCCAATACCTGGAACCTCCCAGCTTCCTGCCAAAGGGAAGAAGGGCCAATGGGATGGATCGGGTTCCACCACGGGGGTGGGCTTATGTGCCAGTGGGTGGGGTCCCTGAGTTCAAAGCCCCCTGCTACTTTCCTCTCTATCCTGGCTCCTTGCTGCAAGGAATCTAAGGGTGGCCTAAGAGGTGAGAACCCCCACCTTAGGTCCTCCCTTCCTCAGGCCAGAAGTGTGGGCGTTTTGGTTTCTGGTCCACGCTCAGCCAAAGAAGGGGAACCGCACTCAACAGTTGCCCTCATGGCGGAGGGTCTCTCCCTCGGGACACTCATGGGGAGCAGGAGGCTGGGCCAGTCACCTGCAAAGACCCCTGCTTTGGCAGGTTGTGTTTTAACTACTGAGTGAGGCACCATATACGAAAGTGACTGGTACAGTGCCTGGCCCCGTGTGCTGCCCCACGTCCCGGTGGGCTGCCCAGCAGCCCTGCTCAGTGCTCCGCCCCAGCCCTCCCAGCCCAGGGTTCCCACTGGTCATTTGTCAAACCTGGGATTTTCTTTGAAGCCACAGCCGAGACAACATGGCCTTTAGTTTGTGAAGCTGAGGCAGGGGGTCCAGAGCTCACCCCTCCACCCCATCTCCTGTCTGACTCGGCTTTCATCAGAGCTGAATAGTGGCAGCTTGGAGGTGCCAGGTGACAGCCAGGTGTGGAGCCCTAACTGCCCCAGATGAAAAGGTGTTGAACTGATCCTGCCTGTGGTGGGAGGTGGGACTACCTTTCACTGTGGATTAACTCAGTTCAGCGGACAAGTACTGACCCAGTGCCCCGGCCCTGTGACAGCCCTGGGGGCACAGTCACCCAGCAGTAGCACTGTGCCTAGCACATGTAAGTGCTCAACAGCAATGATTGTTATGAATAAGCACTTGCCCACCCCCTCTCCAGACAGCAGGGGCAGAGGTTGTGTCCTGCTCACCTTTGTAGCGCCAGTACTCAGTAGGTGCTCAATCAGTGTTTGGAGAATGAGTAAGTGAAGGACTGCCTGAGACTCCAGGAGCGCTCAGGCTGGCAATCACGGAGCTACTGTATTTGGTATGTGAATTATGTCTCAATAAAGTCATTTGAAAAAATACCAAATTAGGTATTATGTATTAAAATTTGGATGGGAAGTTGTAAGAATATGATTGCATTCTGCAGCATTTCTATTCGAATACTCTAGTCCAAAGTCATCTGAACATCAGCTGCACAGGAGGAATTGTGGGATTATTAGGTGCTAGAGAGAAGTAAAGGGTTTCTCTCACTGGACAGGTCAAAGAGAGAAATCTAAATACATACGATGTGGTCTGTTCATTCCGCACAGCACTTAGCGCTTAGGTTTCACAGGGCCTCACTCTCCTACAGTGATACGAGAGTCTGTATCTAGGAAGAACTATTTCAAAAGACAAAATAAGAAAATTCAAATAAAATATTTCGGAAACTTTATTATGAGTTTATATAAAACGATGTTTATATTCTGACTTCATCTTTTTAAAAAGATAATTGAATAATCGCAGGAGTGATACAAGTAGTAACCGAACTATAAAACAAACACAAATAGCACCAACTAGATTGTTCCAAAGAACTATTTAATAGATCATCTCCTTCCTCAAGAGCTGCAAAGTGAATTGCAAAATATGTAACAAAGCTCTCATTCAAAATATTTGTAGCCAAGAGCATATGTTTTGACTGAATGTGTGACTGTGGTTTTCCCAGGGCAGGTCTTAAGAAATTTTAGTTATATTGAGAAAAAAATATAAAGGGAGATATTTTATCTTATATTTGACATATATAGTATTTCATTTATAGTATTTATGCTATTGTTTGCAATGAGGCATACTTTCTTATTAAATTTTAAAGGACTGCTGTAGAGGCTTCTTAAAAAATAAACAATATCGGCCAGGCGCGTTGGCTCACGCCTGTAATCCTAGCACTCTGGGAGGCCGAGGCGGGCGGATTGTTTGAGCTCAGGAGTTTGAGACCAGCCTGAGCAAGAGCGAGACCCTGTCTCTACTAAAAAAATAGAAAGAAATTAATTGGACAACTAAAAATATATAGAAAAAATTAGCCGGGCATGGTGGCGCATGCCTGTAGTCCCAGCTACTCGGGAGGCTGAGGCAGGAGGATCGCTTGAGCCCAGGAGTTTGAGGTTGCTGTGAGCTAGGCTGACACCACGGCACTCACTCTAGCCTGGGCAAAAGAGTGAGACTCTGTCTCAAAAATAAATAAATAAATAAACAATATCCCATAAGCTCAAAAAGGAAAACAACCAAAAAAATAACCATCACAGAATAGGAGGGAAAAAAGCTTCTCTCGGAATTCGGAGTGGCATGGGGAATGTGCTGGGCACACAGCCAGGAGCTGGCCAGGTGTGGGGGCAAGTCTAGGCTATGGGTGGAGCAGGTGA